CACACATGAGAGCCATGAAATGCCGGCTCGCACGTGTGGAGGGCCTCGGGGATATTTCGCACTCATTTTTGCCCATTTTCGAGTATTTTCAATGTATTCGGCACCCGTATTCGTACTCCAATTGGTATATGAGTCTAAATTGTTTCCTACCCTCGATGGGAAGTTTCTGGAGAATATTGCATAGAATATTCTTAAGGATAACCCGACGAACTCCGACGGGTATATGAGGTTAAACTAATTCCCAAAACTCCCAGGAGTATACGAGTATAAACTGGTTCTTCTCGCTCCAACGCCTTAAGAGCTTAAACTGTGAGTATAAATTGTGTTCACGTAGATCAACGGATGATGAAGGAGATCGATGCGAGTCAACATCATTCAATATGTGATAATGAAAGTCAATTCCTGTCGAAGCATAGCCAACGGTCAACGCCAGTCAACACATGAAGAAGATCGACGCGAGTCGACACTATTCGACATGAGTCGACGCTATTCAACGCGTGATGATGAAAGTCAATGATGGTCAACGCTAGTCAGACCCCGTTCAACGCAAATCGACACCGGGTAACGCGCCAACCCGCGCCGATAGCCTCGCTAAAACAACGCTCAGGATTATTCTCAATTCTGAATTAATATCTGGGAGTTCAATCGTGATTCAGAGGCGAATTCCCGATGAAGATGATCAGCTCAACGTCTATTCAATGATACGAGCTGATTCAGATATCAACATGCCAGTCTAAGTTTGAGATTTCGATAACGGTCAGATGATAAACGCAGCACCGGAAGAATTTTAGTTATACGACAAAATACCGAATAAACTAAAAACTGAAGAAATCATAGGACTGAAGACCAAGTGTATCATATCCAAAGTATTTTAGCCTCCTCTATAAAAGAATGAGACTGAAACACTTTGGAGGGGGTATCTGTAGGCGTCAAAAACTGCCTATAGGTTCTGATCATAACTCGAGACGACGAGCCGTCGAAACAACAATCACTGATGATATTGCAATGAGCCCGCACGCTCATCAGCCAGCTCTAAGTGGCCCGCGCACTCGTCAGCCGCCTACAAGCTAACGAAATGCATAAAGCAAATTAGTAAAGGGGATAGGTCAACAAAACGAAGAAATACGCATAACGGCAAAATAAGTTCAAAGCGAACGAACCGGAAAAAACTCTAGCAGCCAAATCGCGTCAAGAAGATAAGCCGACCAAACTATCCAATGGCTCGCGTTGAGTTCTCAGGCTCGTAGCTCGCACTGACCGCGATTCACCAAATGGTGCGCATTCGCTACAGGCCGCGAGCCCAAACTCATACAATGGTGGCTCGCACTGGTCCGCCGAGACCTGATATGGTGGCTCGGCATATGCTGATGCCACCAGATGGTAGCGGTTTACTAACGCACATTCAGGCCGCGCAGCCAACTTGCAATGGCTGCGCTCGCATAGTGCTGAGCCACCAGATGGTGGTTCGTGCCCAGAAACGCTGAAAACACGTTTTTTGATAGTTTTTCAAGATTCTTTCGTTCCAAAGCCTCCCAAACTACTTTGAAGTTATTCCTAAATGTGGTTAAATGATTATTAACTGCAAATAATATCAAATCATCAGTTCTTATCAGAAAACACTATAATAAAAGCCTATAAATATAAGCCTAGGGGTTCATTTCTCCAGATCTAAAATTTTGGGCGAGGTGCTATCGGTTTGAAGAGTGAACCATGAATTTCAGAGAGGGCTAGCAGATATTGACGAACTTCAACATAAAAGGGAAGCTTTTCGAGAGATCTGAGGCCCATATCATTTTTCCTCCGGATCAAACTTTGTTTTGATCTCGAAAAGAGTCGTAATCTTGTTTGATCTCGCTTGGTCGAGATTATCACTTCAGCGATTACTTCCTTTGTGAAGTAAGAGCTTTTAATAATCACTCTAAAAACAGTTTAGACTCGTGTACCTATTGGAGTATTCCGGTCTCTTTTTTGTTGGTAGAGATGAACCCGAAAATCGAAGAGGAAGAATTTTATATTCTATCTCCTGGTCTCTTGTTTGTTGGTAGAGATGAACCCGATGATGGAGTCGCTTGGTCGAGATTATCACTTCAGCGATTACTTCCTTTGTGAAGTAAGAGCTTTTAATAATCACTCTATCAACCGGATGATCCGCGATGGTCCATGGACTAACGCGTCCCCGACACAGGCAAAGATTCCACGCAAGCAGTGTGTGATAAACATCCACTACGTTTGTCTTAAGAGAGAGTTGTAATCTTTTTTTTTATTTGTGTAAAAGAAGTCTTATAAAAAGGCTCACTCTTTTGAACTTGTAAGTCGATAAACGATTATAATAAGTTCCCAAATAATAAAATTAACTTTCACCGCAAACAACATTGTCGAATATATGGGCTTCTTGTCCTTTTTTACGGTCAAAGACTAACTCGACAATGCATGTTAGGCGTTGACTTATTCCTACTTAGGCTTCGGGATAAAATTCCTCGTGCGTGTGAAGCATAGATTTGTTGAGTGCACAGATACAACGGGATAAAATCCCCTGTCCTTTTTATGGTCAAATCACAGTGGGAGTGTTGACTTGTACAAATCACTCGGTAAGGGTTCTTAGTGTCAAGTGATAAGGACTTAACACGAAGGGGTTTGACAATTATCAAAGATTAGTATACTAAAATTCCAAGCATTATATCTGGACTCTAACAATGGGAGTGTTGAGTACACAGACACAACGGGAGTTTGAGTGGATTAACCAGGAAGTAATTTAGTGGACCCATCGTCAATTAATTTCATCAGTGAGGGATTTTGTGATGGAAGATTATGAATCATCAAACACCAGTGGGAGTTTTTTTTGGTGAGAAAAGATTGATTCAACGAAGTGATCAAATCTCATCTCATCAAAAGAGTGCTAGGAAGTTGGTGAAATTGATCCTGATAATTGGATGTGTTTCACTCTTGGAAGCATTCAGAGTCCAAATTGGAGTTTATTGGTCATCCCTTTTTTGTAGTGATCGGGTTATCCCTAAGAATATTATATGCGATACTCTTCCAGGAACTTCTCGTTTTCACATATCCACCCCCAGCTTTTGGCGAAACTGGATCTAATGAGGAGTACACTATATTCAGTTACATGGTCGGGTTATCCTTAAGAATATCACATATGATACTCTTCTAGGAACTTCCCATTAAAAATAGGGGAAGCAGTTTTAACCTCGTATACCCTATCATAGGTTGGCGGGTTATCCTTAAGAATATCACATGCGATACTCTTTCAGGAACTTCCCGTCAAAGATAGGAACCAATTTAGACTCGTATACATATTAGAGTATGGAGGGAGCAGTTTAACCTCATAATGCCCCTATTGGAGGATTGAAAAGTAATTTATACTCGTATACTCTTCGGAGTCTAGAGGGAGTAGTTTAACCTCATGCATCTATTGGAGGATGGCGGGTTATCCTTAAGAATATCACATGCGATACTCTTCCAGGAACTTTCCGTCAAAGATAGGAAATAGTTTAGACTCGTATACCTATTGGAGTATGGATGGAGCAATTTAACCTCATGCCCCTACTAGAGGATTGAGAAGCAGCTTATACTTGTATACTCTTCGGAGTCTGGAGGGAGCAGTTTAACCTCATGTACCTATTGGAGGATGGCAGGTTATCCTTAAGAATATCACATGCGATACTCTTCCAGGAACTTCCCGTCAAAGATAGGAAATAGTTTAGACTCGTATACATATTGGAGTATGGAGGGAGCAGTCTAACCTCATGCACCCATTAGAGGATTGAGAAGTAGTTTATACTCGTATACTCTTTGGAGTCATGGGAGAAGCAGTTTATACTCTTATACTCGTTGGAGTCCTTATTCAGTTTATTTTAGCGTTAGGATGCCAGCTTCAACCAAGGCTTGGATGCTATTTTTGAGAGTGAAGCAAACCTTTGTGGGATGATTCCTGTGGTACGCATAATACTTTCGATCCAAAATATTTATTAGCTTCCTCCAGATTTGTGATAAGTGGCAGCCTGATCTTGTTGTTTTTAAGGAGGGATTTAAAAATGCCCGGAACGTCTTCATCCTTGAAGGAGTACTCTTTTTAGAGTCTTAGATCCGAAGTCTTTCGCTGTCTCTAGGGTTACTGTTGTGACGTCTGATTAACATTAACAGCTGTTGCAGGTGTCTTCCCCTTACCACGGGAGGCGAAGTTTGAGTTCGAAGGGTTAGCCGTTGGTTGGCTTCTCTCGGCTTTCTTCCTTCTGAGGAAGCGTTCGACCTGTTCTCCCCACACCTTCAACTCTTTCTAAGTTTTGGACGGTGCTAATACCATAACTTCCAAGATATCAATGGATAAGTTGTTATGACAGGTTTGGAGGATGAAGTCCTCTGTGACCGGATCTTGGCAATTCATTGTCTTATTTTGGAAGTGCTTGACGAAATCGTCGACCGTCTCTTTATCTTTTTGTTTCTCCTCAAAGAGAGTCCTAATTGATACCTCAGTGTCATCATCAAAGAAATTACCGAGGAATGAGCTTTCTATGTCATCTCAGTTATTGATGCTTCCGGACTTGAGATAGTGGTACCAATCGAAGGCAGGCCCGCGAAGGGTGCCAACGAATGATCGGACCATCAGGGGTTCATGTCTAGAAATCATGCCTAAGTGGGATTTGAAGAAAATTAAATGCTAAGTAGGAGATCCCTTCCCATCGAACGGCGTGAAGTTGATCAGGTTGAACTTCGCAGGATACAGAATTGATTCTCATTCTCTTGGATAAGAACATGGTATACCCATTTTCTTTACTTCCTGAGCGAACATCACGACTTTGATTTTGCCCTTGAGGTCCTTCATCTTCTCATCCTCACTCGAATCCTTTC